GGCAATAATAATTGTTAAATAGCTACACGGTCCACTATGATTTTCAATGATTCTTCAGTTGAAATAGGTCAATGATAAAAAAATAGTAATTTCAACTTACACAACTGTTTACAATTCATCATTACAAAGCCTTTAATTAGGACATATGAGTGAATGTCAACCAACTTAAAACGTACCAAGTGAACAGCACAAATATTATCGTAAACCAAATCATATTGTTTACGATACTGATAGCGATTCTCTTCACCTCCCTCCGAAAAAAGAAATAAACAGTAATATACTAATTAAAATGGACATTAAAGTATTTAGACTAGAATGATTGATCAAATAATCAAATAGTAATACAAATACATGTATTGACGTTAGTATGCATGTATGTATGTAGGTATGTGTTTAGGCGTTCATAAGATTTTGGGTTTGTTTGTACACAGTAGTTGCGTAGGCATATAATGTAGTTTAGACAACCCATAAATAATTTTACATGTTATCTATTTTTCAAGTAATATTTATTTATAGAACATGAGATTAGTTGAGGTGAAAAATGTTGAAATTGTATTATCAAATAAATTTAGTTATTTTTTGAAGATTAGAAATGTTTAAATTCACTTGGTATTGTTTACTTGAATCTTCTTTTTAATGTTGCAATCGATCAGTGTTTTATTGGCATGGATGAATACTGTGTTTATTGCCATTATATTGCTTTCATTCACAAGCATTATAAATAAAGATGGATGAAGGATAGCAGTGAAATCTAGGACGTACAAGTAAGTGGATATCAGGAGTAAGTCACTAAGTGAATAACGCGATGGCGTTTGAAGCGAACAGTACTGGATTCGAGTTGCAGAGTGAATATCAACTCTGAGATGCATATCCATCCAGCTGATGAGTTCTAAATAGGACAAAACACGATTCCCGGATTCCATTGTTAGTCACCATCCACCTCTGCTTATTAGAAATGTTTGTTTCAATGCTTATTGAGACTGTTATTTAATTTATAAGACATAATATGCTGACCGACGGAATGTTTCTTACTGGATGTGGTGTTATTTTCCATGAAAGATTTAAATCTGATATCATTCATGAGAATCTTATTTCTATCACTAACCAAATACATCATACAAAGTAGCTGAGGACTCCATTAAGTTCTGTAATCAATGATCTATATTTATCAGTCAGTCACAACGTAGGACCAGGCACATATATGCATCGGTCCAAGTTGCCATACCTCATTAGCACAACAAGATGAACACTAAATTAATAGAAGTAGTTACTGCGCTGGTAGTATTATATAGAAGAAAGGTCGTGTATAAAGATATAATACAGTAAGAAGGTATAACGCAATTTTATTCTCACCATTTAAGGGAAGACAAAGAGTGTATACACGTACTTCATTGTGATCGTTTCCAAGCCATGTTATCCAGAGTCTCCAACCATTGGTTACGATAGTCACACGGACCTCAACTAAGTAGTCCGCATTTATGAATAGACATGTCACTATAACTCATACCTTTTATTCATAAATGGGGATTATTTAAAATATGTTAGTTGGTCAGACAGTGTGTAATATGAACAGTATTATGATTATTATTTTGTTAGATAATTATTTCATATTAAACATAATCTGAACACCAACATTGTAAAACAGCAATATTTACATGTAATCATATTATTTACTTATAGCTGGATTGAATGGAACAGATTATACTATCCGTATTTTTATTATTTGAACAAACCATGCCTACGGAGTATATTTAAAGGAGAACTAACTCTGTTAAATTAATAAAGATGAATGAATCTGACAATAAAATATCTTAAATAAAGTGAGTAGAACAAGATTAGTAGAATAACATGAATACACTATATTTCAAGGCTTTTCATCAGTTGTAAACCGCCTAAATTTATATTAGTAATATTATTATAAGAAGGTTTACATATTGTGATCAATGAAGTTTAGTTCGAAACGATATAAGAAACAAGAAAAGGAAACGATATTTTTCACATAATAGTTAAGGTGGATTAGTATTTACATGCTGAAGATGAAGGTTGATGTTATGTAAGTCTGTAAGTTTGTAGTTTTTACAAGACAATACAAATATACACTGTCATGTAATTCCTACAGACTTCTTAACTTTTTAATCTACAACAACTTACTAGGCATATGATAACACATGGTAAGTAGTTTTTCTATATCAGTGTTTTGAATCGAGATCAACTATCTTCTTTCATACATTTATATTAGAGGTAAATTACACAATCCATCGACACATAACTTGGTGGGAAAGATATTGATTAAGAGTTATCTTCTATTTAGTATTAAATTTATTTTTCATTTCTTCAAAAGACTTCCAATCCCGCCCCCGTCAAAAAGACTTTCAATCCTTTGGGTATTCTGAATGTATGATTTAGAAAATCCGTTTAGTTATCATGCTAAGAATTTCATTTATTTCCAGAACTGTTTGTCACATGAATCTAATATTTGGCCCAAAATTCTATTCTTGTCTTAGATTAAAAATATCACAGAATATAAAATGTTTCTTCGTAAATTAAAGACTCTGTCTGTGGTTTTGTACTTTTTGGTATTTCGATTTTTAAAGTAGTTATATTATTTTCTCGAAGGTTCGTGGAAGATGTCAAATTTCATGGTAAAAATCACCGGCTGATCATAGCTAAACAAATATTGAAACCCTATGACTACTAAACTGCTGTTTCGTCCTAGTTTTGGAATTTCACAGTACTGTACGTCCACAACTCCTCCGGAGATCAGATAAGCGACCTTTCGAACATCATGTATGGTAACAGTTGTATCCAATAATCACTAACTTCGACAGATAGCGCCTGACGTTTTAATGAGAAGCTGTAACCTATGTAGTTGAGCTATGTCATACACTAGGCAGTTAACTGCTAACGATAATGGAAATTAATTGAGCAATATCGTGAACTGATTGATTTTGAACATGTAGACCATTGGATGTTAGTAAGATGGTTTAGGGACAAAGACCACACAACAATATCAGAAGGTTATAGGTTCGGTCACAGGTGTGGTCGAGAATGCGCACTTCTTAGAAATCCCTTACTAGAACGAAACAGCTGTTCAGTACATCCTGGGTTTTTCATTAGGTTTTTTAAAGTAGAATAATTCGATTATGTTTACTATAAAGTTAATTAAACAATCGATGAAAGCATAAATTTTAGTGTTCAGGTAGACGTTATTGTACGTGATACTATTTAAAACGACTGTATTAGCCAGCCATTTTGTTATTACTTAAGTTTTCTATCCATAAAATTTCAAATAACAATGCTTGGATACAATTCGCGATACAAATGGCTTTTTCTCTCTTTTAATCTGAAACTAAAAAAGGATAATAAGTGATGAAATACCCAATTATTGTCCAAAATCAACTCTATTCTTAGTTATTTCGAAAAGCCTATTACCCGAATTACAATATATTATAGTTTTCTACGTATCATATCGACAATTTATTAGGATTAACCAGTATTATGTAGAAGGGAGAATATAAACGTGGAGTAGTTAATTTGAATGATATTGTAAAGTGTCATTAGACTTCACTCTGATGTAATCAAAGGAGACCGATACCAAACTTACACTAGTATGTTCAGTGAAAAATGACTAATAATATCCCACTCATGATATCAGTTTTGGCTTAAATAGCTCAGAAGTAATTTTCCTGACATTAACACTTAGTGAAGTAAGTTTAAATCCCGCGGAAATCATCAGTTCCACCAAGATTACAGATAATCCATCTTGATGCATTCAATTTAGCATAAAATATAAGCCTTCTGTTTGTTTCCTTCAATCAGCCAACATTAGGATTCGTTACGTTGGAATATTTTGTATATCCCCTACTGATAGTTAATAAACAAGATTTTATTTTTCTAGAGGGAGCAACATATTTGTTCGAGAAAAACATCAAATGACAGAATGATCTCTTAGCAGGTAAGAGGCATGAAAAAGCAGTGCATATAAATAATGTGTTACCAAAAATAGTATTAAGATTTAAGTGTTCAATTTAAACTGGTTAATTTCATTAAAACTAAGAATATAAGTTCCAAGTATTGAATACCCATGGAAATATGTATTTTAGAGCATTAACTACAACATCATAGAGATAAATATTTGAGTCCTAACATTTCAGTAGGCGACCATCAAGTTTGGGAAATTAAAGGAACTAGTTTGAAATTGTAATAATTACTAAAATATTTTCCATTTTCTGTTAAGCTATATTGTGGTGCGGGTTAGTTATATCCACATAAGTAGTATATAACGGTGGTCAGGCATAGAATGTATTTCAGTAGTAGATCGATAAGGGAAGAAAGGAAAAGGAACGCAATTGATATGAAAATGCATGAACAGTGAAATCTGAGACAATGGATTGATGTTTGCAACAGGAACAGTCAAGTTTGATATGATGGATTGATATTTTGCAAATTAACAATTTACTATATGTAAATAAATAGTATATTTGTAATATCCCAACGAGTAGAAAAAATTAGATTTTCTGACTTTTCCTAGCTTAGTGTAAGTCACTTCTCTGAAGAAGTGACAATCTGCCCAATGCTCAATTTATTCGAAATTATCAAATCAAACCTTGGTAATGATACCTAATTTACTATATGCTTCTCAGATTTTAGTGAGATACTCTGTAATTTCATGTCTAATACATTCGGTTGTCCCTACTCATTATATTGTTCACAACAATGTAAGTTTCATAGAATCTTGAAAAAAAAAAGAAAAACACATCTAAAATCTATTCCAGTGACAGATAATACATTCGAAATCCGCGCTGAAAGATAATTTTAGAATAGAGCCTAGATTATATATATAACCTATTTTTACTGTTTATATCTTTTATAGTAGATATCAACCGGGGAATTTGAATTAACCAATAATATTTGGTCACATGATTAAGGTAAGTCATTTTAATTTCAACCAATCACAATAAAATTATCTGTATTTAAGATACACACATGAAATCAGAACCATTCGAATAGGAGTAGGCGTTAATGAACTACATGATTACACATGTATTAAACCAATGTATCTACACATGTTCTATACATTTTCACTCAAAGAAATTTGGAATTCTTTGAAGAATTAACATTTATTTATTTATATTTTCTATATAAAGAAATTGGAATAAAAATCTTATAATGATCTCTGTATAATGTGATTATATATATGTATATTGATGTAAAGTTTATAGGATTTGTTGAATTCGAAAGGAATCTTTAACATCATTGTTGAAACTCTTTAATCTTCTCGATTGTCTATAACAATGTCATTAAATTTTAATAAACTTTTTTTACAAGATATACTATCTCGAAGAGAATCCCCACATGCACTTGACTTAAATGAAGAAAATCTTAAAATTCAAGAAGAATTAGAGTATTCAGCAGAAGATAATGATGATGATAATGATGCTGATGAATATGATGATGAAGATAATGAATCTGACGATCGATTTACTGAGGATAATAATGATAATGATGAATATTCAAACTATACCAATGAAAAAACATGTACTAATAATAAAATTAATGGAAATAATAAAGCAACTAATAAAATTAAATCAGGAGAACATTTACAACAGTTTAGACTTATTTCAGCATTGAATAATTTACGATTAGCTGTAGATAAACAAGCTAAATTACAATCATTACTTAGTGATTATAAACATAAAGATAAAAGTCAAGATTCTAGAATATTGTCGAAATTATTAACAGTTAAAGAATATAATCCTACACCTGATGATACAACTAATCAAACTAGTAATCTATCAGACGTAATAACAACAACAACAACAACAGATAATAAAAATGATACGAAAAGAAATATTGAATTTGAAATTGAACAAAAAGATGAAACTACAAGTCTTACTAGTAAAACAATTCAATCTAAAGTGACATATAGATCGTCGAAAAAACCATGTCAACATAATACAACAGATATACCTATATCTTTAACAGATAAAGATATGATAGCATTTCGAAGAAATGAACGTTTATCAAAAAGAAAAGAGAAAGTAAGTTATAATTGTGAAATATTTTTTTATTCTATGAAAAGAATTTGTTTTATATTAGATTTTAATAAGAATATGAATATCATACTTGATAAAAATGAAACTAAGTTTGTAAATTGCACTTTCCAGAGTGTTTTCCATATAACTGGTTACAGAAAGACCATTCATGTGTCTTACATCTACCCATGGGTTCGCTGAAATGTTTTCGATTTCTTTGATCTTCAATTTCTAATGGTTTCTGATAGAAAGGAATCTCAATGGTTAAGATCATGAGTCAGTTGAAGCTAGACCACTATGGAAAATCTGGAAGCACTGGACGGCCATTTCGTCCTATTGTGAGACTCCTCAGCAGTGCGCATCCACGATCCTGCACCCTGCGAGATTCGAACCCAGGACCTAATGGCTTCGCGCGCGAGCACTTAACCACTAGACCACTGAGCCGGCCGGCATACAACGGTGTTAATGTCTAACTTCAGCTAATCCACGAAATTGAGCGACACATTCACTATTGTCTTCAGTGAGTTACTATCTCAAAACACACCTGGTTTGTGATGTAGATATTTTGCTGATTCAAATTTCGATGCATGTTGCTAGAGGCTTAGAATGATCAGTTTCTTATAGATCCATACCAATTCCATAGTTAATTCTAAGTTATGCACTTTTCCAATAGAAAATGAAATGTTATCGCATAACTGACCTCTAATCCCTGATATCAATATGGATCTATTTTTTTTGTATGTCACGTTGTTTATCGAATAAAGGTCATTTCATGCCCGTATTCATCAACAGATTAGTTAGAAAGAAGAAAATGGATCGACCACTTTTCATTATCCAATCGTATTAAAACATTCACAATCTAAACTGAAATTTATATAACCAAAATTTGTTTCCATTATTGATCGATTTCTGTTTTCTTCCGATATTGTATGTATGATTAAAAATGTAATTTTTTAAAAGATAAAACAATTGGAAGGTGTTTAATGGATTTTGTGTTTTCGTTTAAAAACGCATTGGTTATCCGAGCAGATGCCTTAAAATTAATTAAAGGGGATATTTATAGATAGAGAGAGGTTGACAACATATGACGAAAGACATTAGTCACAATGTCATTTACTTCATTCTTTTAAGGTTTTTGTAATTTACATGATAAACGCTAAATTTTTGTGTTGAATTAATAATCAGGAACTGTCTTAATAATAAGCGCCTAGTTAATTTACCTCTTGAAAATTAACACATTAAATTTATTTGTTGAAAAAGTGCTATTTTACGTTGAAGTATATTATGCTTAAGTGAAAGATGTACTGTCGGAGCGAGTACTATATCAAGTCCACTATTCTGGAGAGATTAATCTATTCATTCTTCTTGAGCCACATTTTTGCCCAGTCACTTATTCGCCTATCAACCTTAACTATCTTTATGTAGGCGTATGTGTGTGCATTTCTTATCTTACTATCGAATGTTTGTAAATTGTTTTTGGTCTGACCATAAATATAGATTAACGCTTGATTAAATCGAGTTGGCTTACATGCCTTCTCCACCGCACATCATTTCTTTTCATCTCGGTCTCTTCGTTCCTTTGATCGCCTGCCTGGATCAATGACTATGAAATATAGGTATTCATATCCTATTCTCGTATTTGACTTAATTTCGTTATTCACCAACGCGAGTTAAGTCGATATTTATATACGAGGATTGGTGACATGTATATTTTGATAACAAGTGGTAAATGATCTACCTGGGGTCGGATCTACGACCATTAGAAAACAACAAAATTCACAGAATAAAGTGAATTCATTTTATTTCAAAGCTTCCTTTCGGTTGTAAGCACTCTAAGGTTACGAAGATTTATATCATTGGACGCAAATGCTTGACACTCCAATTAGTGAAGTTGATATGTACATTTGAAATGGAGCAACACATAAAAGTGAACAACATCGTTTTCAGTTAGATCCTCATCAGTCTTTACAGTAATATACAATAATATTTATATGCATATACAAAATTATTAAACCAATCAAGGCAGTTCATGAGTCAATGATAACGGTGGAATAAATTGCATAAATAAATATTAGTCAAAAGTACAAATGAATGGTCTGATGACAGGTACACTAGTTGTGATAAGAGTATTAAAAGCTGGAATCCATGTTTCATTATAGGAAGTAGATCAATGACTTGAAAAATATAGACACTAAATAATAAATAGAATCGTTTACTAAAACTAATTCGGCAAAGGAAGAAATAAGGGTGTTACAAATTTCTTATCAATACAAAGACGTTGATTGTTAGCTAAAATCCCTATATTTGAAATGGATCCGAAAATCATAATAATTATACAAAAAACACATTGTGAAATAAGGCTAAAATTAATAAGCATTTGAATTTTGAAAAAGGATGAAGAAAACTGACCGTGTAAGGTAGCATTAATTACTAACAATTATAATAAAATATTAAAAGTGATTACATTATCTTATAGTTTATAATCAACATTCTCAATAAACCTACCTATTATCAGAAAGGGGGTTTTGTGGATATTATAGTAATTTAATAGTTGAGTTCATGCGTCACTTGAGTCTAGACCACCTTGGAAAACCTGGGAGCACTGGATGGCCATCTCGTCCTAGTGTGGGATTTCTCAGCAGTGAGCATCCACGACTCTACCCCGCAAAATTCGAACCCAGAGCCTTCAATCTCGCGCGCAAACGCTTAACCTCTAGACCACTGAGCTGGCATACAACAGTGTTAATGTCTAACCTCAACTAGTCCACGAAATTGCGCCACCGCCCATCATTGTCATCAGTGAGTTACTATCTCACAAGAGACCTGGCTGGACCCCACTGGTCAACACTTCTCACTAGAAATCCGGGAAATAATTCTTGGAGACAGCCACTAGTGAGTATATGATAATTATAATCAGACAGGGGTTTTGTGGATATTCTAATGGATGCGCACTGCTGAGGAGTCCGACACTAGGACGAAACGGCTGTCCAGTGCTCTCAGGTTTTTCATGGCGGTCGAGCTTCAAATGACTGATGAACTCAACTATTAAATAAACCTACCTATATTGATAATTACTTAATCTTACTAAAAATAACTTGATTCCATGAGAAGTATATGTACTTAAGTCAATACAAAATTAATGTGTGAATATCATTATGATCGTATAGTAAAAAAACTATTTGATCATACTTCTAATTTCTATGACAGAGAAGTCTATGACACTTTTCTTCTGTACTCATAAGTTAGTTCTGAAATGCTTGATTACAATAGTTTGTACCATGCGTCCTAAAATTGATGTTGGATAATAATAATAATATGATATATTCTGAAAATAATAATGACAGAATTCATGTCAGTTTACAAGCATAATCATTTTCATATAAATAGTAATAATAAATATAGAGGATAAATATTTGGTATTAGATTGTTTGAAGGGTTCTTACTCAAAAATTGTGTGGATAGTAAATTTTTCACATGTATTACAGCAATAAAAGGGATCAGTCAGGAACCTCTAATTCTTTTTAAGTGGGCATTCTGTTGATTTATGAACGGCGTATTTATGGTCATTTCCTGCAACGTAACAAACTGATTATAGTCATCTAAAACTAGAGAAAATAAAATGGAATAAGGGAGCACAGAACAACAAAAGCAATAATCACTACGACGGATCTGTCAGGTCTAACGTAATACATATTTCAAGTTATTTAGAAATTATTCAAACTAGTTAAAGTTAATAGGAACGGTGTTAGTGTAAAAGTTACAACTGGTAGTTAGGTTTACTCAGTAGGGTCAGTATTAAAACGATTAGACATCTGAAGTTTCTATAACCTCACTTGTGGAATGGGATCTGCTTACAGGTGTACGAACATTTATGGCATTTTCAGAGCAGAAATACGTATCTGTACGGTGAACAAAGAATGAGAGTGATTTCATTTTACGGACAGATTAAAATGAATTATTCGAGAGTCTGGAAAGTATTAGTAAAATAATTCATATGGAGAAAAGATTTAGAATGTGATTGTTTCACCAATAACAAAGAGCTACAGATTCTGTAATTCGGAGTTTCTGCATTTTAACTTACGACATTGAATGTAAAGGATAGCTAATTAAATATTTTGAAGGGGAGGATAAGATTTAGTTTGATTTTCTCCTTCCATAAAGAGACGAGTCCAAATTTATTACGTCTGAATGATTGGATGTTTTTACTCTGTGTTCACTCTCCATCATGAGCCTAGCGAGTACACTTGTAACAGATACTCAAAACTAAACATCACATGACTGAGAATTTAAAAAGATAAACAAATTTTGGTAATTGAACAGAAACATTTCATACGCATTATGATTTTAATGTGAACTGCATGAAAGTAAATAGAATACTCAATATATTTGGGACGAAAACATATGAAACTGATTTCATTCTTGTTCACTTTTCTGTTATCAAAATTAACTACGAAAAGAAACAAATGACTTATTTTAATGGAGTTTTGTTCTCTGAGCTGGATGATTTGGTCGTGGAGCTTTCATCGTTCTTCTGAACGACATCATCTGAAGTTTGTGCTGATGATGTCGTTCAGAAGAACGATGAAAGCTCCACGACCAAATCATCCAGCTCAGAGAACAAAACTCCAAAATCATCCACCTGAGCTACAAATCTTCTCCATCATCACAAATGACTTATAGTATTTATAATAATGCACTTGTTATCTAATAAGCAAAATCAGTAGACTTTCATCATTACAAATTATTAGACATTATGAAATCTATCACTGTTCATTGAACAATAATTATAAACATTATAGTTTAATTGTAGATCAGTTGCCACCCAAAAAGTTTAGAGATATTATTCTTGTTTATGATATTTAGCGAGATGAGCTCAAACGTCTTATAATTGGTAGTACCATTTTAAATATATCTTGATTATGAGTGCTAAACTTAGGTACATGTGTATGTGTCCGTCACCTTCAGTTATTTATATGATAACATCATTATTTAATATTTAAAATAAT